TATATATATATAATGTACAGCATCCAGTGGCCTCAGATAAGTTGATGAAAGAAAGTAAGAGATTGGTATTAGATAACTTGGAAAGTCTAGGCATTTTGAGCAAGTCCTTATTTGTCTGGTGGTATACTTAAGAAACATATGCAGGCAGGCATCCAGAAAATGATTATATCATTTCAGTGGACTATGATATTTAGCACTCTGTGTGACAATTGCTGCTTTTCAGTACTGAAGCAGTCTAAATTCATCATGCCTGTAAATGGTTTCTCCTGGCAAGCAAAGTGTGAAGATAATCGAGGTATACTGTTGTAGTAGAGTGTTTATTGTTTCCCGCAGGACTTAGCCCAAGGGTCTGCACACTACTGCTCTGAGCCACATCCAGTAGAATACCAAGGAAGGCTAACCAAGACCCTTGTGCATGGTCTGTGGCTGCTTTTGTGCTCTAGCTCCAACAGGTTGTTTCAACAAAGACCCTGGGATTCTAGCCAAAAATACTTGCTGTCTGACCCACTACAGAATAAGTTTGCTTAAACTTGGGCCTCTTTTTTTAAAAAAACTTTTTATTAATGTATATGAGTGTTATGCCTACGTATCTGTAAGTATACCTGTGTTGTGCTGTGCCTGCGAAGGCCGGAAAAAGGTGTCAGATCCCCTGGAAATGGAGTTATGGACAGTTGTTTGCCGCCATGTGGGTGCTGGGATTTGAACCCAGGACCTCTGGAAGAGCAGCCAGTGCTCTTAACTGCTGAGCCATCTCTCTATCCCCTTTGTCTGTCTTCTAAGAAAGGAAAAGGAAAGGCATGTAAATAAATCAAAGACTTAGATCTGTTTCCCAGATGGCAGAAAGGTGGACCAAGTACCATTTATTCTGCATGTACCTGAGGACTGAAGTAAATGCTGAGTACCATCAAAAACTGAAATGGTTTAGTTGGTGTGATTACTTTAAGACGTTTTAAATCATAAATGATAGGTCATGTTTATAGAATTTGTAGTCAAAAGAAAGAAATAATACAGTGGCATCCATGGTTTTTTTTTTTGTTACAAGTAGATCACATAGGTACAAACCTTCTTTAAGAGAATAAACCCATCAAAGGTTAATGCAGATGATTTTATAGTACATAAAACTCTATAAAACTCAGAAACATAAAATGAGCTTGTAATTTAAAACAATATAATTTTAACTACAGATACATTTACCTATCGTACATGAATGGTTCAGACTCTTTCGTCTACATAAAGTCAGATATTTCAAGTCATTTTAAAGTCCATTTTATTGTGAGGAACTGTGTCGGTGAATTGTAGTTTGGGGGCATTTTTAAGATGCGTTATGCCAAATTAGAGTGTTTTTTAAATTCAAATAACTTCATCAACTACATGAACAAACTGATTTTTTAGTGAAAAAGTTATTTTGCATTTTACTTAAGCTTTTGATAGTTTTTACAGAAAATTGAGAGTTTGTTAAAACATAAAATTCTTGGTAATTTTGTATCTTTGAGCAAAGAATTTTGACTCCCTAAGACCTTAACCATATAAATAAATATCCCATTTACAGTGCCAAGCAGTCTGATGAACTCAGTGGACTTTTGCCTGGCTGAGTGTGAAAGAAGAGATAAATTGGACACTTAAAGAGAAATATGTCCAATAACTATAATTCTGAAACATGTTAGTGTATAATATTGTAAGTCACAGTGGATGTAGCCATTAGAAAAGTTAATTAATATTTGAATTAGTTGTATTTCTGGACCATGGCTCAGATTGATGGTGGCATCAAAAGCTTGTAGAAGAAGAGTAGAGACTTATATCCATTGGCATCACTGACCTGGTGTAGCAGGGAACATGTCTGAGGCAAGCACAGATGGCCTCAGAGTTAAATCATTCTGTTTTCACATTGACTGACTTCATAGGAAGATTACTATGTGTGATTGTGTGTGTGTGCACATCGTCCTCACAGGTCTTCCTCTGCTTGTGTTGTTATTCTTTGGGGTTGTTTTGGTATCTTTTGCTTTGCTAGGTCAGAAACCAAGGTCCCCATTTTTAAAAATTTATTCTTTGAAAATGTAATGTATCTTGATCATATCTACCCCTCATTCTCTCTCTCCAGCTCCCCCTGGGCTCTCCCCCAATGCATTGCCCTTCTTACTTTGTCGTGTGTGTGTGTGTGTGTGTGTGTGTGTGTGTGTGTGTGTGACACACTGAATCCAGCACATAGGTGTGGGATCATTCATTGGGACACAGGCAACCTGCCAGTGGCCTCCCCCAGCAGCCACAACTGCTAATAGCTTTTCAGCTGGGATTGGAGCCTCAGGAGCTAGAATTTTTACCTGGCTTGATTTTGTGCACGTAACCACAGCTAACTGTGAGCTCGTGAGTCCAACAGCATGTCATGTCTGGGAGACATTTCACTACTCTCCTCCTTATCCTCCTGCTCCTGTAGTCTTTGTACCCCCTCTTCCACAATGTTCTCTGAGCCTTAAGGGTGGGGTGTTGGTCTAAGTATGCTCCCTTTAGAACTGAGCATTCATTGTTGCTTAGTCTCAGAACTTTGAACAGCTATGAACCTCTGTATTAACTACTACTTGATGTAGTAAGAAGCTTCTCTAACCAAGGTTGAGAGCAGTGCAAATCTATGGGTATAAACAGAAGTATTTAGAAGGCAGTTTTACAACAGGACCATTAAGCAAAACATCAGTCGGTGCTCCCCTTGGGCAAAGTCCACAGCCATGAGTTTTGATCATGTTTACAGTATTATGTGTGAATTCCCTCCTATGGAGCAGGCCTCAAGTCCAGTCACAGGAGCAGTAGTTGGTTACCCCGTTTTAGTTTCATTTTCTACTGCTCTGATAAAACAATGACTAAAACCAGTCTGAGGGAGGCCATTGCTTCATTGAGGGTCCCTCTTCCCAGGTGTGTCAAGTTGACAACCAAAGCTATTCTTCACATCCCCATAAAGAGTCTAACCACTATTGCTCCAGTGGGCACATTTTGCCCTGCAAGTCAGTATTAGAGCATGCAGGATCCAGTGCTAGCTGAGACCATGTTTCTCCCCAGCAGCTTGCATTGGCACTTGCACCACAGTGAAAGCTAGCCACCAGGTAGAGAGGAAGCCAAGTGTTTCTTTGTTTTGTTCGTTAGTTTTGGGATAGGGTCTTACC